CTTTACCAGCAGTAATTAATGCCTCTAACCCTGAAAATCCTCCAACTTGATCACATTCCACCTTGCCTTCTGGCACAAAATAAGTATTATGAAAAAAAAAAGTAAAATGATGCCTGATTTTGCCAATAAGTTTAGTATTATATTTGTGTAGCCTATGCAAGTATAATTGTAATTAACACAAAATTTGTGTATAACATTTATCTTCAGAAAAATTACTACAACAAAACATTCAGTAATATCTGCAACACTCAAATGATGTGGTGAAGTGCAAATTTTCATCACAAGCAACAACTGACACAACCATGCTAATAATCGACTAGTAAAGTTAGTTTTTTGATCATTGTGTATCACTCGTGCTCCAAGTTGTGTTATTAATTCATTGTTCTGCCAACTTATCAGTGATGGACTGCATTAAAATATTAACCAATGAATATGTTAGTTCTTTACTGAAATAATCAATAACAACCAGCATAAATCAGTCAACTTTCTTAGTCTCAGGAAGAGCATCAGTTATATTCAGGATAACTCTCACTCTACAATATAACCTATAACTATCTGCAAGTTTTCCTCAGGGAGGTGCATATGGGCAAGTGTCTGCACTCTCTCAATTTATTGGTGTGAATATGACCAGAAAAATTTTTTTTCACACATTTATGGTGGTGCTTGACACACACTACTGCCCTACAATCCTTGCATTATGCAAAGTATTTCCTGCTTTATGGCATTGAGGATTACTATTAGACATATCACAGGTCAGTCTTGGTGTTCACGACAATGAAGTAATTCACCATTTTACACATGTAAGCGATTATAAAACTTAAGTGTTTTGTGCATCAGCACTCCACTGGGGCATAATAAATAGCACTTAAGATAGATCTAGGTCCTTTCTCTTTCCAAAGTCTAAAGAGGTTTTTTGTTGCATCCATCCACAAGTAGAAGTGTCACCACCCATATGGTTGAGCTTTCGTATCAGCCAAATTTGTGAAGTAATTAATCACAAACAGTATGACAGACTCCTCCACAAAACAATTATAATCAATGATTGCAATTTCTGGGCTATTTTATATAATAGTGAACCTACAATTCTCCAATGGAGCTATCTCTGATACAAACATTTCCTTCTTTGATCTCTGAAGGCAATGCAGAGTTTACACCATTGTTCTACACCCCTGTTTCCCAATGGGTAAAATCCAGAATCTTGGATATCAAAGCTACATTCACCAAACAAAAGTGCTTGACAGCCAATACAACTATAAGCAATTCTTTCTTTATCAAGCAGCGATGACATCTGGTGGACATTAGTAATACACTGTGGCATCATACTGCACATAGAACATTATTCCAATCCCACTGTATTCAGGATGAATGAAAAGCCTTATCTCAGTTAAGATAACATTGATGCATCAATCAAAGCACAATTTAGTGACATGAATGACATTAAACAGTCTACCTTACATGGGAGTCAACTTCAGTTAATGCAGAAAATGGCGTATTGGTAAAAAAGTTGGCTACAAAACATTCTATGACATAAAACTGGGAAAGCTTTGTATTTCTTTCTTACTTGTAGGTTTGGGCCAAGCAAACCATGTAATGTAAGTTTAACCAACTGCAAGCAGATGTATTACAAAAGTATTTGAACCCAAAATATGTTTTTTTTTGTGACACCATATTACAACACTGTTAACAGCAAATAAGCTTGTATGGCACAGTTACCAGTTTATCATAGTGCTGGTTCCAAAAATACAGTTGGAATGCAAGGTGATGTCCATGTGAAGAATTGAAATAGTTGTCCATCATATAGTTTGCATGTTGTATTTGCATAACCTCTAGAACCTTAGAAATGCATAACTATAGTTTTTTTTCAGTATCTTTATATATTGTATCTGGTATTTACTCTCCTCTACTACAAATTATCACCAATATAGGGTAAAATGAATAGTTGATAATTCACAAATACATAATACTATGTCAAATGGCACTGTAAAAGGTCATGGCATGTACACTTTGAGTTTGAGTACAAAGGAAAGCCCTGATTTGAACAAATCTTTATGATCCGAGTGTATAAGTATTTTTTGTCAGATATGGCCATTACACATTCCTTTCCAAAAGGGATCAAAAATTACTAAAGTAATGAAGGAAGTTAGTTGGAATTAAGGTGGTGGAAAGAAAATAAATTACTTTAAAATGAACTGAAACTTAAATTCTTGCTTGTTGGACTGAATTTTAAAGCTAAAACATAAAAAGAAAACTTGTCTACATGGTCATCAGAAAGAAGACTAATTTTACTGGGGAAGTATGCAGAAAAAGTTCAAGAATCCTGACTCCTTTAAAAGAATACATTTGAAAGTGCCAGTTATAGTATACATTCTCTCTATAGCTGACCAATCACAAAACTGAACTATTAGAATCAAAAAGTGTCTTGCTGCATGTGGCAGACATAAAGTAGCTTCATGTACAGGGTGATAGACACAACTATTCCAAGACACAGCAGGTACTATCCTTGCACAGCTCATACTACAGAACTTAACACCTAGAGCTAAACTGCCACAAACGAGACCGGATTTAGCAAATTCTAAACCAATATTGTACAAAAACAATGTAGTGCTGTTACGATATTGAAGATGTATATTATAAGGGAGTGAGATATATAGTATTCCCACACCATAATCACTAGACTACCAAATGCAATAAAATCTGCTCATGCTGACCATTACTACATCATCATTTAGTTATGTTACAAACTGGAACCAATGACAGTTCCTCAGCATTTACAACATCTTCCACAGGTGTGAACTCCAACATATTACAGTAACAGCAAGACCAATAAATGTCAGAATTCAAAACCATAACATACATACCATCTACATCCAATTATTTAATAACACACACTAACACAGAATTCTATAAATCCTGGATATCACTCTTGAAACCATTCAGTTAATGAACTGATTCAAATTCCAATATGGTGAGAGCCTAGTGTACTGCACACTTACCTAAGACCCAGGATTGAATATAAGCTCCTGCCACCACATACAGCCCTTCTTAAGAGTTCCCTGGAGGTGATAGCAGATTAGACCCAAAAAACAGAGGAGAGTCTAATTGATAATTAGTATACATCATTTTACAATGTAGAGCTCTCTTAAGATCATGAAGTACACCAACATGTTGTATAAATACAAGTTACACCATTTGAAGAAGGTTTCAGCTTAGAGCAGAAATATTCTAATCAAGATTCACTACAAATGATCAGCCAAGTTTATCCGAACATGGGACTGTTCTTTTTTTGTTATGTTATTGTTCATTTTGAAGAAATAGATTTCTATTGAAAAGTATAAAATGGGGAAGTTGTTAAATCTTAAAAAAAAAAAAAAAGTTTTTGGTTAGCACTAAATGTTAAAGTTATTTTGGTTCAACTTTTTATTTTAAAATTAATAAATTATTTTTTGAGGCTTGAAAAAAAATTAAGATTTGAAGCAACTACTTAAAGCTGATAGAGTAATGTAGTCACAACAAGTTTCAATGTTACTGGAAATTTATGTTTGATGGTAAAAATACCAAAATGTACTCTTTCATCACTGTATCAGGGTAAGAATTAAGTAAAATAATTATAATCTAACAGTAAATATACAGGCAAATATTTTTCTTTTTTCAAGTACACATTGAAACCTACAGTTATTTGTCTAATTGTATTTCCAAAGAAGAATCAATGCATTTCTGTGAACTAGAAAAGCTTTGTTGTATAAGAACAAAGGTGAAAAAAGCAGCGACTGCTTGGTTCAATGGGACACTTGTAGATTGGTCCTCCAAGACTTTTTACACAAGTGTCACCCTGAACTAGGCAGTTGTTACTCATTTCACTTCCATTTGTTCATCATGAAGATACTGCCTAATCATCTATAAAAGAATATCCTTGTATCTAAATATGCCGTCAACTAATTATGATGCAAGTTGATAAATACAATTCAAATGCTTAATAATAAATAATAGTTGCATTGTAGAAACTTGTTTGTGGTGATGGTGATTAGCAAAGACACAAGTAGTAGTTATTACAATACTTTTATGAAGTTTGTATATATGAAACAAATCTGCAAAGATATAGCGACGACATAATTGTAATACATAATGTAGTTTGGTCACCACTGTGTTTTTGAAATTTAAATTAATTCACTAATTACACCCATTTTATGATATAGTAATTAAAAAATAATAGTTATTTGACAGCAAAGACTTCTGAGCTATATCTGTGTGAAACAATTTCAATAATTTAATGAACCAATTATTACATGGGTATACTTCAAGTTGTCCTTTTGATCAGCATACGTAATAATGTTATTAATTAATTTTTCTAGACTAGTAAAAAGTTGTCTAATGTAACTTAAATTTTTGTCACATCACAAAAACTGGGAATAACCATTAAAAAAAAACATTTGTAGCATTATTGTTATTTATTTTTTAAAGTATTATATAAGAATTTTTCCCATACTTATATTTGTGGTTAAATGAGAAATTGAACACTAAATATGTCACTGTAAGAGGCCTGGTCTTATTTTATGACTTGGCCTGTCCAGAGGTAATGATGAAGAGTGAAGTGGCAAGCTCAGATGAGTGGGCCTCATGTTTCTTTCATCCCAAAATTCACAATGAGAGAAATATTATAATTTTATGGGAGGAGGAGGACAAAGAAGAAAAAAAAAATTGCCATTTTTGGATAATTATTATACGAGTTTCTTATTTCATTATAATATCAGATATTTTTTTTAATATAAAAATAAAATTTCTTGGCGACAGTACAAGATATTGTAGCTGTCATATACAACATTAGCAAGTTTATGTTTGAAAATGTTTAAGACATGTTTTTAAACTTTTTTTGTCGGCTGCATTTGTTTCTCAGTGTAATATAATTTGCTGGATGTGTCTCAGAATCTTGTCTGTAATAACAATAAAGACGAATAGAAATGAAAACTATTTAACAAATATCTTGAAACAATAAAAACTTGTTCTAACGGTCAAATATTTTATTTCTCAATGGTGTTTTTATTTTACTGTTTGTTTTACGACATTTAGTAGAGGAATGAATATAACTGTTCTTTTAAAGCCTTTAATAATAGCTACTCTGAATATCTTTTCTTTCTGATACAGCAGCAGTGAAGCCACAAAATCAGATCTTTCTCACTTTACATACATGTTTTCTTATGTTACTGTTCAAGCCCAAATAACAACAACCACAAAATCTTGCAAAAACTAGAAAAGAAAGTTAATCTAACTGGAGCTAAGATACATAGTCTGACAATTGTTTATCAGCAGATTTAATACAGGAGGGTTGAAAAAGCATCAAGTTGGAATCTTGCAACAATTATTGAAGAACAACAAAGAATTACTAGAACCCAACTTTTTATAAGGGGATTTTGTTTTTTTTTTTTTTACAGAGTTCATTTCACATAAAGAACTGATTTGGCTCTCACATGCCAGTATTTATAAATGTCACTACATTTTCTCTCTTTGTGATTTTAAATTGTCCACATCACATTCTGATACAAGTTGAACGGACTTGGTGACGTTCGGCATATACTGTTAACACACCCTTTCCTATTTAACCTTCCCAATAGCTTGGGTGGTCAAGCAAAACCAAAGCCTTCTGAGCATTCCTGTACAGCCTTTAACAGCATCGATCTCAGTTTATCAAATGTTTCATAGGCAGGAAGGTCAAGCTGATTGAAACTATGAAAAGATAACACACTTTCATGTAACCATACTAGTATCTTGAAATAATGCAAAACTAAATGGAAAATATATACATCAAATAAATTTTAAGTATTATAATTTATTGAGACATCAGGCCTATTAGAAAAAAAATCAACATGAAATGATGAACACTGCAACAAGTATTATAGAATGCTGGCTTTATCGGTAAAACATAAATGAATAAAAATAGTAATAATTTAGAATTTTTTTTAATTTCATAAAATTTAGTGTTGACACTTCTTCAGTTCTACTGATTTAAAAAAAATAATATTGGTTTTGTTATTTATAATATAGTATTTTACAATTAATTTAACATTTTATGGTGGGTAATAGTTATTACTTAATACAGTTTCAAACTTACCATGTGTGAGCAGAGGGTAGTCTGTCTGTTGAACGGTCATCTCTATGAATTTGAAACTTCTGGGTGCCATTCATGCCTTCCAGAGCTGAGAACCCTTGCAAAGGTACTTTGGAGGTGCCAGTGACAAACTGAAGGAATTTGGCTCGATCAGCTTGATCAAAAGATCGCAGAGCTCGCCAAAACCACTGAATCTGTTTGAAAGAGCATAAAAATAAGTATTAACTTATACCAGTCACATGTTACTGCCTGATAAAACTGGCTTCCAGCTTTATCTCTATAAATATACAATATTTAATCAAGTGTACATCTAAACACAGCTAATGTTGTAAGTGGTCATAAATAACATTTAGTTATATTAATATGCAATACTGAAGGTTCCTTATATTTTTTTAAAATACCAAATTCAAGAGAAAGAAATTTCAAGAATAATAAGCTATAAAAAAGTTTCAATCTTTCACAACATTGTATTTTTATTTAGAACTTTGATCACAAATGTGACTTTGATGTAAAATCATCATTACAAAGCAAAGAGAGAGAGACAATAGTGAACTTAGACTAAAACGAGTAATTCTACTTTAATCTTCTAATGTCTTACTATTCTATTCTTGGTACACTTAATACTTTATACTGATTAAAACTGTTCTACATTGTAATGTCTAGTAGCAATATTTAGTTTTATATCAAGCTAATTTAGAAGCTTACCTGTAACGAGTTGTGTTGATACTTGTGGTACTCTGTGTTACTCTTGAGATCATCAATATCAATGTTAGGGAGCCCAGAAATTAACAACTCCAATTCCTGCTCATTGAAGATAGAAATTAATCTTTTGGGAATGATTTCATAGAAACCTTCTAGGAAAGCATTCAGTTGTCTGCGGATTGCTCCAGTCATCTTTTCCTGACACACCAGGCGTACGTACTCATGTTTGTTTTCTTCTGTTACAGGAATGTTGCGCCCATTGGGCTTTAAGTCTCGTATTTCAGTCACACCAAACTCTTGAACCTGAAAAAAGTAATCCAGTAAGTTGTTGGGAGCTGTTTAAGCCTGTAATCAAATACTTACATTCTCAAAGAAATAAATCATATTTGTTTGTTTCATTAAAAAAAAAATATATTTTTATCATAAAAACTTTCTACTGTGGTGTAGGAAGAAGTTGTAAAGTGAGGGTGCTTGTCTAGACATGCAGATTTTAATATGAGAGATTGAAAATATAAGGAACTACTAAAGGCAGCTCAATCTAGGAGAAATGCCCCCCCCCCCCCCACAGAAAATTAATATAATTTACAGTTGCTATAGAAGTCAATATGTAAAAGTCGAGATGCTACAGCATCCCTGGTTCCAACACCTCTGTTCTAGTACTATCAAAAGTTGTAAAATGACTAGAAAGGTTTAGAGCTTTGCACTTTTAACTCTATTGCTACAGGTATCCTTTACTGCACATGACACAAGGCAATATTTAAAAAAATCCTAAATTTCCCCTAGTGTGATCCACATGACATTTTCTCTTCGCATGTCATTTTCCCTATTTTATCCACCACCCCTCGAAAAAGTCACTGCTTAGACAAATTATAATTTTTATAGTCTTTAATTTTATTTGGTTACAGAGCTATCGAATAGAAAATCAAGCCCCTCCTGCCACATCCTCTCTTTCAGAATTTGTTAATAGTTCTCTCTTATGTTTAATTATATATATTACCTATAACCAACATATATCTGGCTTTTCTAACTAAGCATAAGAGCCATTAAAAATTCAACACTGCTTGTTAATGTGTTTCCTGTGGGCATAAAGTTTCAAACTGGAAGTGAAATACACAACTCTTGGTACAGAAAGCAACATAATTTAACACCTCTTTTTATAGACTAAAAATGGGATGCTACAGGGGTGTGTGGCAAGTGGGTTTGATTTTCTAGTTTATGGCTTAGTACCAAAATAAGATTAATGGCTATAAATATTATGCTTTGCCTGAGTAATAACTATCATAATGAGTAATTTACATTAAATTCTGTACTTCTTGAATGGGTGGGTAAATAAATTAGATAAGAGGGAGACCTAGAGAGCAAATATTTTCTAATGAAATTAAAAACATGTATAATATTAAAATTTATTTGTATACATCAATATAGAGTATCTGTATGGAATGTGCTAAGATTAAAAATACTTTTCTGCATTGAAAATTTTCAAAATCATTTACATAATCTCTAAAAACCTCATGTTTTTTTTCCCAGAAAAACTAACTTTTATCTGTCATTTTCTCTACCCTAACTCAATTTGGGGTCGGTCAAACCTCTTAACCTCAATAAAACTTCAAATGTTAAAGTAGGCATGAGTAGACAAGAGTTTCCCAAAAGAATAGAGTAGTAGGCAGCTACCATGGTAGGTTTGCAAAATATATTGATATCTCAGCAAATCATAAAGGTGGGAAATTCTTATTATATATGCTAGCTTGTAAATGTTCAAAATTTAGAGTTTCTAATTCATTAAACACTAAGACATAATATGGTAGGCATAATAAAATAAAAACTAAGCAATAGGACAAGAAAACATGCCATACGGCAGTGCTTCCCAAACTCTTTCAGCTTGCAGCACACTTTTAATGTCCCAGACTTTTTCTGACTAGGACAGGCAGAAATTACTGTTATATTGTGTATCAAGGAGAAAATAAATCAAATTTGAAATTTTTAAAATTTATTAAATTGGTAATAAATTTACATTACTGAACAAAAATTACTGAATTGCATAAAGTTTGGGAAGCACTACCATATGGCACACAAAAAAGTATATTTAGTATTTTTTAAATATTTTCTTTCAAATTAAGAAATGCAAACATATATTAAAATTAGAATTATAAACTAAATTGTGATGCCACGTTTATTGACATACAATGATAAGTTGTTAAAAATGTCATAACATGTGCCCTTTGACCTGTCCATTGCAAAAGGGTTAAATGGTACTAGGAGAGATGCGTGTGTGCCTTCTGTGCTTCACATAATGATCCACCAAAAGCAGTTCTATCATGTGGTTAGTCAAGAATTCAGTTCTTAAAAATAAGTTTGTTACCTAATAATAACAAATGAAAATAAAACAAATGTAAGCTTTACCTCAACACTAAATGTTAGTTCATATCCTAGTTCATTGACGCCATGGTCCAGGAGAAAGACAAGGCCTTGGTAGAAAGAGTAGTCTTCACTTTCCATATCTGTGTATCTGATTCATGTATGTAAAGGTTAGTAGTTTTAGATAATATGATGTGTACATGTCCACCTTTTACAATCATTAACAATGGTTCTAAAAGACAAGCTTAAGTTTATACATTTTTTAAAGTGTTTATCATAGTGAAAGAAAATTTCATACAATACTGTTTTTGATATTTATTACACTACTTGTAATTTAAAAATACCAAAAACTGATAATTTATCTCATTTTCTTGTAAAAAACACTTTGATATACATAAAGCAATTTTTTCTTTAAGAATTACAAGACTTAGATAATATGTATTATGTACTTACTTCACAAGCTTCCCCAGGATATGTTTGTAGAAAGATCTGGTGAAATAACACTCTAACAGCTTATTGTCATAAACAGCTTTAGCTATCACTCTGCCAACAAACTTGAAGTAACTGAGATGATTGGAGTTACAGTGTGATGAAGGGTTGATCATGTACGTCACCCGGTCACCAGGAGATGTCGTAAACAGTGCATACATGGGATTGAAAATCTCTCTAGAAATTATAGTATACCATTCTCTGAGTAGGCCTCCAGCATCTTGACCTTCCTCCCCTACAAAAACAAGTATTATTAAAAGATATACGTATGTGGTAAGTAATGTGAAGTATATTCTGAAAGTGTTGGACGAACAACCTCTTCCACAGAAATTACAATTTAAACACTGAAAGGTGGTTATGCATTTGAAACCAACTGATAAATAATGCTGAATTTATACACCTCTGATTTAGAACCCAAATTAGACATGTGTTAGTTTCAAAGCTCACATCAGCATAGTATAGTTTAAAATGCTGCTATTATGTATGAAGTACTTCAACTGTGATATTACCAGGTGAGTTTTTTAATCCAACCACAAAACTAGACAATTTTTCAGTCCACCACATGTTTAACAATCAAAGTTCATGTTCTGTTCTTTCTTATATTTTCACATTGAAATTGTAGTGACAGTAAACTTATCTTTTGCTAGAATTTCTTGCTATTAAGCTAAGAAAACCAACTCTCAACTATAAGATGAGCACAGATGTATAGAAATAACAGAACACAAACTTTGATGCAGTTATTTTTCCTGAACACTGAAGTGTCTGACGTATCAAACATTTCATAAGTTTCTAGCCCTATTTTGGTTTTGGTAACTCACTTCATTTTGTTAACTATCTAGAAATGAAGTTTACAAGGGTGGGCCTTACAAGCAAATAAAACATGGCATCAGTAAAATACCAGAACTGGCAATAAACATTAAATTAAGCTAACCAGCAGACCTTAATACAGAGTAACAACGAAAGCCAACTTCAAACAGTAATTTAAGACTATACAACAAATCAAACAAATATTTTAAGGCTTACAAAAAGTAACAGAAAATATCATCTTGTTTGGATTAATAAAGCATGATAAGTTTACATTTAGGTCATGACTTGGTCACATTTATAGACTGTTTAATTTAAGCTGCTCTCACCTCAGATATTCACTTATAACAAGAAAGTAACATTTCAAATTGTTTTGGTAGTGCCAAGAAAAGTGATTGTAAAGAATATAAAAAAATAAGTCCAATTTATATATCTAACCTGCAAATTACAAGTCTTACATAAACCTCAACCCAGATACATTGCATACAAACCTCGGTTTGATATACTGTGTTTTAAAAGTATCTACTCCATCAAATTGTTTTCTACAAGTGTCAACCATATTGTAATGCACATCAAACTCCTAGACCAAGATCCACTGAACATCATTAACCTCAGTCGTAGTAAATACAACAGATCAAGTTTCAACATATTTTCAGCCTTTCTCTGTCATTGTATCTCTAAAAATTTTAACCCCATTCTCTGTTTCAAAGTGAACTAGCGGTGAACTCCTTTTCTGACAATCTTAAGTGAGTTATATTACATTTTTTCATTTTTTTTTTTAAGTACTTAAAACATCACCTTCAAAAACTATATAAAACCGATTCTTCCACTCTTCTGGTGTTCTGCGATGTAACTCTCTGAAAGAGTCTTCAAAAACATGTTCACGTCTCACATGGACAGCCAAGTCCTCTCGACGGGCTCCGTCATCCATTCTTTCCAATTCCTGCCTAAAATATCGTCGCTTTACATCAAAGTCTAAAACCCGAGTGTGGTCTACAAGTACTGCAAAAGGTCCGTCAGCAAGGGGAGTTGTGGATTGCCGTAGGATTTGATTCAGGACTGTACGATGAGTTTCTATAAATTATAATCAAAATAAATATAGTTATAAACCACATTACAGTTGTACATAAATCAACATATACAAGTTATAAATAAACCAAAGCTACATAAATTATAAAATGAAAAATGAACGTTATAAATTAACATACAAATCAAGCTACAAATTAATTACAGATGTAAAAAACAAAATGCAGTATGAAACCATTAACTCTCTTACTATAGGCTCTGTGGAATCAGGCAAGTTCTTGACCCCAAATATATTGTTTTGGGTACCTTCATGAAATTTTACAAGCTTTTAGTAATCATTAAGAGACATTTGTAGAAAAAAAAAAAAAAAAAATCAGGATTTTTAATGAAGTATTTACACTAAATATTTCTTTACATGAATAAATGGAGTCAGAGTGTTGATTATTCTGTGTGCAAAATGATTTTCATGTTAAGATTACAAATACTTTTCTTCATCTGAAAAAATTTCAAACTTTTTTTTTCAGTAAAGCTTTATGTTTTATCTGTTATTTTCTTTACCCTAATCCTATATGTGGTTAGTTAATTTGATGGACCTTGTAGTTGCCAGAAATAAATCTAAATTACCCTTTTTCTTTCTAGAATGGCTTCAAATTTCAACATGAAACTGCATTTATTCATCCTAATTAGCTTTAAACTCATCACAGTATATATTATTTTCTATTTAAATTTTATTGTTTTATTGCACTTCGAGTCATGTTTAACTGATATTCATGCCATATAAATTGTATATCAGTTGGCAAAAGTGTAGCTCACACTACCCTATCAAATTACATAATGAATTAGCTAGTCATACGTACCTCGTGAACATTTTATCATTCTTTATTTTATCTAATCTAACCAAAATGTTCCTAATTTGAGATTTCCCTTAACTTTTATAACAATAAATAAAGAATACACATGAAAAACAAGAAATATAGTACTTACCTAGATTTTTTTTTCTGTTGATGACACTTAACTCCACTTTTTTTTTTAATATTAATGATAGTACTGCACTACTTACATACAATTAAAATTTGGATTATTTGCTACGTTTTTATGCCAAATGTATTCCTATATCATGATAAGAAAGTATAATTAACTAACTTTGAATGTAAGTCACTAAAACCTCATGAGAAAAAGATGACCATAGCAAATATGTTCATTATAACTACAACAATAAAAACCTTTGAAAGTAAAGGATTTTTAAGTATCAAACATTGATATCTAAGGGAAACCCCTCAAGATTTAAATTTTCCTTTCAACTACTGTCAAAATTAATCAATTGTTAGTTTATATGTATTTGCTTGTAAAGAAAAAAACAAACCTGTATAACTATATAATGAAACTGAGAAGCAGTTTAATTTATTGGTTTTAAAAACTGTTTTAAGAGCACCAAACTTTGATAAATTTTACCTGCAAACTTCAGAAACTTCTGTGTGTCTGATGGGAGATTAGGATAAATGGCAAAGATGGAGCTCTCCCGACTAATTGGAGCTAAAATGTTAGTAGGCTCAGTAACAGTAGCAGCAGCAGTTTGAGGTTCCGAGCCAGCCGGAAGGGGAGAAAGTGGTGCTATCTCCTGATGTATGTGAGCAAGCTGGTTCTCCCTACTCTCCAGTCTGTACTCCCTCCTGCTGTATAGAATATTCAAAATTTTACACAAATCAATAACTATAAAAAACAAAACAATAAAGTCTTTTTAAAATAGTGTTAATGTGAAATATCTATAAAGATAAATAGAACAGATACATCATACTCATACAACTTTCAAACACTTAAATCTTCTGGAAAATTTTTCATTTTTAGACTAGGTTGATCATATTTAAAATAACAATAGTATTGTTCTAAAAACTGTATTTAAAGAATAAAACACAAATGAATTATGCAAAGTTAAAATACAATTATATAATATATAAATAAAAACACCAAACACACATTAAAAACTTGACAGAAAAAAGAAAATACAGAGCTGGAATATTAGCTTATTACTCTCTTCTCTAATATACACTGCCTCCACGAGCAAACTGATAATGAAGCAACTTACTTTACCTCTCTCTCTATGCGAGCTCAGTCACATAGACTAATATTGCAAAATCATGTAACCAAACAAAATTGAAGGCTATATAAATTATGGTTTGTTTGAGCAATAACGATTTTATAGAAAGTATTTTACATTTAATTTCATACTGTTTTGATGGGTGGTGGATAAAATAGGGATGATGACATGCTAAGAAACAAATGTGTCACGTGGTTCCACACTAGTGGAAATTCAGGAATTTTTAACACATTGCCTTGTAGAATTAAGAACTTAAAACTTGTATGCTAT